ATCTCCATCATAAAGCATTTTCTAAGCAGCTGACCAGGACAGGGATGAGAATGTGTTTCAGAGCTTTTTCCCTGGTTCTTGAAAGTGCAAAATGAGCCTGGTGGAAGCAGCCAGACCCTGATGGACAAGTGGATACATCTGGCCTGACTCTTCTGCAGCTAGCTGATGAAGGGTGGCCAAGGACTTCAATACATTGTGTGTATTTAAGACCATTTTGACATTTTATTGTTCAACAAAACTCTTCTAGAACAAACTCAGTCTGCTCATAACCCCTGACAGACCCTCAGAAGGAGATTGAAGTACTCAGGGACACATGGGACTTGTCTGCTGCAACAGCAAGTGGTAGGGAGGGCTGGCCATGGCAGGACTGAGCACAGAAAGCAATTTTTGGAGGTGCTCCCAGGTGGTACAGCATGAATATTCTCTCAGCTGGGAGTGTTTGGACTCAATTTACAGCTGGCAAACTTTGAAGAAATCAAATAAAACTTCTTTTGTAATGTTACAGTGAAGTAAGAGGAGTTCTCTTAAAAGGCAATGAGAAGAGAAACACTAGGAAGAGAAAGATAGGATTGAATAGGATTTCATTCATTTCTTGCCATCTGGGAATAAAATTTGTGAGGGAATACTGTTCTTATCCTTATAAATGGCCAATATCTTCTGGAACCCAGCAAAGCAGAGGGCAGGCAAGGTTTATGATTCACATTAGCAGATTGTAGTGACATGAGTTTACAATAATGGTCTAATAGTTCAGTGTAACAGTGACTCATGGCTTATTACTGTGGTGATAGGAATGTAAAGAGATCTCATTTGAAAAAAAATATATTTGGATAGTTCACATCCTTTCCTCCCTACTCATGAATTCCTGTGCCATTGACTGCTAGCTGCTAAAAATAGGATCCTTTTTGTGTATCTAAAGGAAAACCTAGAATCAGAGAGACAGTGGGAGGGCACCAAGGTCCTTCCACACAGGGCCTTCAGGAAATATTTGTAATGAAAATCCTCTGAGAGTGCAGGAATGTTTTTAAAAGATGGGAACAATCTAAGAAGGCATCTTAGAAAGAAGAAGGAGAGGAATTAATGAATCACAGCAGTTCCCAGCTTTGGTATTTTGCACCACAGCAGTGGGAGGTACAGGACCAAGCTGCAGCTTTGTCTTGGAGAAGCTGTTCCACTTCAGCAGCAGGAAACTCCAGGGAACAGCCCAGGAGCAGCCCTGTATGCTGAGGAGGAGCCACAAGGGGAGACTCACTGGGAGTCATTTGAAGTTGTACAAGTCCCTTAAGGACAGCAGCAGGAAATAGGATCTAGGAAGACATGAAGAAGGTATCTGCAAACAAAATGGATTATCACCACCACCCCTTCAAAAAAGAAAAAAACCCACGTGGCACCTCAGAAACAAACTGCTGAAGTGTGAAATCATGCAGCAGGGAAAGCTGTCACAGAGAATCAGAAATTTATTTAATAGACACAAATTGACTGCTGCATGATTTGTGCAGATTGCTGCTTGCTGAGAGAGAGAGAGATCCACAGCTCTGGAGGAGCTCTCAGCAAAAGGTGTGGAAAGCAAAAATGTTGTCCTTGGTAATTGTACGTGTACTGAATGCTTCCTCTTCAGTAGGGAACAATTCAAATCGATGGCAGGATGCAAGGTAACAAAAGGAAATGACTGATCAATATGCATGTCTTGGAGCTGAAGACAAGCCCGTCTGCCAAGAGCAGCATGCTGATGAGGCGAGATTCTGAGAGGGAAGCTGAAAAGCTTCCACTCCTGATGCTCAAAAAACACAACACAGCTGAGCAGATGCCAGGTGCAGTGCTAGCAGAGGTGAAGGCACCAAGGAGTCTAGAGAATAACTGTTAGGAAAAGCAGGGAATAATAATTTTAAGACTAAATAGATTTAAAGTAAAAAATGTGATGCTTCTCTTATTTGCCTTTCTAAAGATCTCAAAAGGCCTTTAATGATATTGAAAAATTATGGTCTTTACATACCTGTGCAAGGTCTTAGAGATACTGAGACTGATATTTTAAGGCCAATGTCCAATTTATTCCTTGGCTCAAAGCACTTGAAATCTCTTTCCCTGTATATTTCACTGGGTGGGTCTCTGTGAAGTGCTACCAAAAATCAAACACTAAATCTTCCATGATTCAGTAGTTTTAAATCTGTCACCCAGATTTCTAAATACTTTTGAAAATGTTGCTGTAAAGCTGACTGCAGGGTCTGCCATGGCCCCAGTAGGACAGGGAAAAGCATGTGGAACTCTAGGTTTGCTTTCCCAGTTTTTCCCCTCTGAGTGGTATTTGTTTCTGAGGCAACAGCCTCAGAAATGGCACATGAACAGTTAAACACCTCAGGTCTTGCAGCTCATACATCTCATTCTGCTGACACAGCTGAAGATCAGAGCCAGAAAAATGCTGCAAAAACTTTGTCAAAGTTCACTTCATGGTAACCCCACATTTGCCTGAACACATTCCCCATGAATTCCTGACTAGCACCCGAAACAGTGGATAAAAACCTATTTTATCACCTCATGACTTTGATTTCATTAAGAAACCACAGAAGATTGGTAGCATGGAGCCTCCATGTTCTTACTGGGCTTGAAGCAAGGGTTCTCCTCGTGGCCCTGCATCATGTCCCTTACTGCCTCCTCTGCAGAGTCCTGCTGCTTTCTGGGCACAGGTGGATAAGCAGCCACTCCCCTGAGGAGCCAGCAGGACCCAGTGCATCTTTCCCTGGAGGCTGGCAGCCAGCCAGACACTGCTGCACTCTTTCCTTGTGGGAATGCATGGAAGGACTGAGAGCTGTGCAAAATCTGGCTGCTCAGGGATGGTTTGGATGTTAAGGAAATGCTGGCATGTTCCTCCCAGTGCCTCTGTGCTCCCAGCCATCTGCCACCTGCCTCCTCACTGGGGGTTCTCCCTGTTTCCTGGGAAGGGGAGGCTTGGAATCACAGGATGGAACAGCTGTGCTGTCCTTGGGCTCAGCTGGACACACTGCACGTTGTCCTGCTCTCCAAGGCACTGGGAAAGTGTGTGGAAACAGGAGGAGGAAAAAGTTCCAAGCAACCTTTTGTAGGGAGCCACAGTGAAGTGTTTCATGGACAGTACAGTTCATTCTGTCCGTCCAGTCCAGCCCCACCAAAACCCACCCTCAGCAAGACTAGGAATTGGGGAAATGGGAACCAAAACCCCTCCACTGGCTGTGAGAAACTCCATGAGCAGCTGATACAGCCTTCATGCTCTGAACTGCAGGGATGCATCCCCTGCCTTTGTGGAAACCATCTACCCAGCTGAGATAGAAGGATCAGAATGGGCAAGCACAGCCCCAGCCTCTGCCATGGCATGAGCAGCTGTATCAGTGGGAGCAGGGTGAGGAAAAGGCACTGCTCAGCTGGGTTCTGCTGCAGAACAGAAAATGCATTGTTAGTAAATCAGACTTTGGAACTGCTTAAGATTTAAACACAGCTTCAATTAATTAACCTTTCACAGCATAGCACAGCCCCAGAGTGAATACAACACTATTCAGTCCCCTGACTGCAGATTTTGTTGCAAAATAAACAAGTTTTTCCAGGGCTGGGCTTGATAGTGCTGATCAAGAGGTTGGGTTGGGTTCAAAGTCATCTCAAAGTCCTAGTGGGGATACGAAAATGGTTGTAACACCTAGAGAAAATTACCTTGAACGAAATATTTGTACACAGCACATGTTGTAAAGCCCCAAATGGTGTGAGAGAGGTGCTCTTTTCAATACATTCTATGAGAATGTTTCCCAGCAGTGTGAACCTTGTGGGGTTTGTTTTTTATTGCCTTATTAAAATCTGTTTCCAGGATGCTCAAGCAACATTTTCCCAGCTATTTTTTATGCATAATTACTCTTTCTTCCCTATGCTAATTTTATTCCTGTAAATGTGCCCTCTGGGCCAAGCAGTGCCTCCCCCACAGTAACACAACTGCTGCCACATTGGTGAAAATGAAGGATGCAATTTGATCCATCGAGGTCAATATTTGACCTCTCAGCCTTTCTTCCTGAAGCTGAGAACATTCTGCAGCAGTTTCACCAGGTAAATGCTGTCCTCCAGTAAATGAGGAAATGGCACCAACATTCTTCCACCAAAGTAAAACAGAGGACTGGGAATATTTCTTCAGCACAAGGGGAATGATACAGCTGGGAAAGAGCCACTGCTGGACCCTTCAAACCCCCCTGAATCAGAGCTCAGGCTCAAATACAGGCAGGAACCATTAACTGCTCCAAAGGCCAGAACAGGGCAGTGTGTGAAGCTGCACTGGGAGGGATGGGATACCAGCACTTCCAGGGAATGGGACCCTCCTGGCAGGCTGCTCTTGCCAGCAGCTTCCATCTAGAATAATCCATGCAGGGATGGTTTCCATACTGCTGTCCATGTGTTCATAGCAGCCATAGCAGAGACACAGCTTCAGATGCTCTGTAGGGAACATGGCCCTGCAAGTGGCTTAGGGTGTGGCCCCTCCCACGGGGAAAAGCAGCTCGGCCTCCACCTCCAGGAATTCCTTCCAACCAACACTTCCATGTTGCAGTGATCCTTCTTTTCCTGTGGCAGGGCCTTGGCCTGACAGCTGCTGGGGGTCTGAGTTACTTCCCTGCCTTGGACTGACTGCAAGCCAAAGGAAATAAAACTGGCAGAATCCCTTGGGTGTGGAGCAGGAGCAGCATCCCAACAGAGCCCTGGCTCCATCCCCTCCAGTCTGAGGGGCACCAGGGATGAAAAAATCCAGGATGGCAACACAGCTCACAAAACAAAAAATGAGACCTGGAGAGGATGTCTGAAATACATTTCCTTGATACATTTTCCTCCTGGCATGACATAACTCTATTTGTCTCTCTCCCAGGTACAGCCAATCACCCCCTCTGATGAAGTTACTTAGCCAAAATATGAAAAGAAAATCAAGAACTCATATATTCCTCACTTAAACTTCATTTTCAGACACAGTTTTGTTCTTTGATGCTCACAAAGCAGATTCAGCCTGCTGGGTTTTCATTCTTTATTTTAAAATGTTTTCACAAGTAGCAAAAGTTTGGATTTTTGAGGAGAAAAACAGAAATATTGTCTATTTTCAGAATGCCTATAGAGACAGATGCTTTCCCCCTTTGTATCAAGACACAAAATGATTATAAATATATATATATATGTCTGTATATAAAAATAAATGATTTGGCTCTAAAAGATTCAACTAAGAACAATTTCAGTGAGGGACAAAGACAAAATAAAATAAACCCTGTAACATCACAATTTTAAAAATCCCTTTTTTAAAGGTGTTCAAAAATTTTGACCTTCCACTGAACATGAAAGAGGGGAGGAGCACCCCAAATGCCACTGAAATGGGCAAAAGGTTCACACAACTACATTTTGTATCATTCACAATGTCACACTTGAAGTTATTGTGACAATGCAGATATGAAAGTGTCAGAAGTGCATAAACTCTGGGGTTTACATAGAAGAGGATACATATTTAAAGCATATTTTATGTTTTAGGGCTGTTACCTCACTTTGCCCCAAAATAATTATTTTAGCCTGTAACATAAATAGTAACTTGTAATAAAGCAACAGCCCCATAACAGTAAGACCTTCCCAGGATCCAAGCCAAGCAGGGAGAAAAGCCAGGGCACCACAAGCAGGGTGCTGACAAGATCCCAAAATCTTTCACCACTAACTGGAATATGGCATTTATCTATTTGAACTCAAAAAATTTAGAAATTCAGCTCCTCTGTTTGCTTTCCCTTCCAGAACCAGCACTTTCCTTGCTGGGTGATCACCAAACCATTTATTACAAACATCACCACTTTTCCTGCTGTTATTTTCCCCTCACATGCAGCACACCAAGTCCCAAACCATCAGGACTCTGAAGACACTGCATGAGGTTCAAGCTGCCAAAATTCTCACTGGTTTTGGTATACCTTGCTCAGAAGGGGGAGCAAGGGGAAGAGGAGGAGAACCCACTTGTGGTTTTTCCATATCAGTGTCCTGCTGGCCCATCCCAGCCATGTCACCATCATATTTTCTGAAAAATCCTCTTTGCCCAGGATGTTTCTCTTGAGAAGCTGAGAAGCCTCAGAAAAGAATGAAAACAAGAATCACCTGATTGCTTTGGAATATGGTCTGGAAATCGTTTACCAACAGGTGCATCTTTGATTGGTTCCATGTGAATTGTTTTAACTTAGTGACCAATCACCACCAGCTGTTTTGGACTCTCTGAGTCAGTCACAGGTTTTTATTATTGTTCTTGTGAAACCTTCTGATGTATCCTTTCTCTATTTCTTTAGTATAGTTTTAGTATAGCATTCTTTAATATAATATCATAAAATAATCAATCAGCCTTCTGAGAACATGGGGGCAGATTCCTCATCTCTCCCCTGGTCCTGGGCACCTCACAAACACCACACACCCGCATTCCCTCGCAGGGAGCAGCGTGGGCCATGGCCTCCCTCTAGCGTCCAGCACGGGCTCCTGTGCCTCGGCTCCCCCTGAACGAGCCACCCGAGCCCTTCCAGCTCTCCAGGCAGGAGGAATCTGGTTCGGTCCTGCGAGTAATGACCCATAATTGATGTTTATAGGCTCTCCAGAGTATGAGAATTCACTGAGCCCCCGGGGATCAAGCAGCCTCCTGAACCTCTTCTGTAATTAACATTTAACGATTATGCAGAAAGCCAGAGGCAAGCAGCTGTCTCCACTTCTGCAGGAGAGGCCCCAGGGCAACAGCATTCACTCAGAAACCCCTCATCAGCTTAACTTTCCTCCTTCCGTGCCCACAGACTTCTCACCTGTTCTAGCAAGACAGGAAGGTGCAAATGTCACCTTGGCACGATGGGATGGCAGCAGTTATTTTGTAGAAGAAACACCCAGCTCCTGGGTCTATCCAAAAATGGTTCCTGCTGCCAACATGATGTGCATGAATGAGCTTCACCATGCTCAAGGGCTGCTGCTGTCAGCTGGGAGGAACCAGCAGCAGCACCTGGACAGGATTTGGCAGCATCCCTGCTAAGGGATCATTCACTGACTGACAGGGAGTGTGAGGGAGGGGGCAGGAGCCCATTTCTGTCTCAGCCCTGGTAATGCTTTAAAACAGAGTTAAAATTGAAAAAATAAAATCACATCCAAATGCAACCTTAAAAATGTAAACTAGTAAAACATTAAGCTGTAAAATCAACATTAGTCAGTGGCTGAGGTAAAGAACAAAGGGGCAGAGTTCAAGCAACTGCAGACACATAAGGAAGATTCCCCTCTTCCCCAATTTAAAAAGTCAATATTTACTGTAAACCTGTTTAATACACCAATGGATTGCTTTAAACACTCCTTTGGGCAGAACTCCTGACCTCCACCCTGGAGCACTGATGAGATCCACTAGCCACAGGCAGGATTCAAGGCCAAGTCTAACAAGCAGAGCAGTCTCGACATTGCTCTGAGCCTTAGTCACAGAAATACAGTAATTATTGTGGCAGTTAATCAAATTAGGCTCTTTCCTAGTAATGTAACATTCACTTCCATATTTTAAACAGCCCAAATGTCAATTTAATACACTCCTTATTCAGTGTTCAGCCCCATGCCTTTGAGGCATCCCAAAAGCTGCTGTGTTTTTGAAGGCCTTTAAAGGTGAAAGAATTTGAGATCTGGACCCACTGAGGTGCAGACCTTGGTCAAGTCAATGAGCAGCAGCAGCCCCTGCTTTGTGTAGTAAGACTGTCACTGAAAAGATGTATTTTAAGACTGAATTTCTCCTGAAGGAGAAAATAAAAATTTAGTAATATCTGGGAATATGAAATGCTGGTATAAGGTCACAGAACCAAATGTGACCTGAATAGAGACAGACCTGTCCAGCATGGTAGAACTCCCATAAGCCTCGATGTTACTGTAGTTTTAAAACATTGACAAAACCTGCAGTTTGAGGCTCTGAGGTCTTGCTAATTCTTACAACAGAGTCTTCCTGTATCAGACACTCTTTAGATGTGTATTTTCAGTATTTTTAGTGAAAGTGCTTACTCCACAAATGCTGGATGCTGCTGCTCACTGACTTAGCCTGGAACAGGCACACAGTTGTTTTATTTCCCTTCAGAGTTGTGAAGAAGTGCTGGAGAGAGCTCTTTGTTCCCAGTCACAGGCTCCAAGCAAGGATCCAGGTTCTGAAGTGGTGGAAGATCCCGTGTCAAGCACACCTCTGGTCCAAATGCATAACCAGGACAGGTTACAGGAGCACCCAGCTCTCAGGACTTTGCATCAGGGCAGCATGAGGGATTTTGCCAGTCTGGTCCAGAACCATTTTTTGGTGCAAGGATTGGTGTAGTCACAAATGGTAATGAACCGTAAGATACTCGGGAACTCGTTCTTCATGGATTTGTACTTGACTGGAATCAGCCGTTTGTGACGAGCACCTGAAAGGGAGGTGGCACAGAGAGGGTCACACAGAGAGAGCCACAGGCAGAGCCCACATCCATTCCCTCCCCACCACAGCAGGCACATCACAAAATCCAGCTTTGCTCCTGAATGCAGTGTCCCATGAACTCTCTCCTCCTGGTCAATCCCCCAGTCCCTGGCCCTGGAAACATCACTAACTGTTTACCATAGAGTTAGCCCTCCTGGGGGGAAAAACAGACTCCTCCATGGACTTCTATGTCACAACTTCCCCTGGCTTCTCCCTCCCCTGTCCCCTCCCTGGCTTAGCAGCCCTGGTGGCCACCTCCCTTCCCCTGGAGGCCAGTCCCCTCTGCCCAGCCCTTAGCTCTGCCTCCCACCCCTTCCCCTTCTTAAGCTGCCTGCTCCACCTGGTTCTTCCTCTTTCTTGCTGGGTTCCCCTTCAGCTGCATGAGACTCTGCTGAAATAAAACCTTGCAAAAGAGCCTTTCTTGCCTCTATTGCTGAGCCAGTTGTGGTGAGTGTTGAGTGGGGGTTCGACTGCATTGCCTGAATGTTAACTCAGCTTGCTTTTCACCAGAAGAGGTTTGTTGGGGACAAGAAATAGGCAGCAGCACCCACCATTCTAACACCCACATTTTTACCTGACTGGGCATCATGTGATTATACTGCAACCAGCTCTCACTCTGGAGAGCAAGACTCTGAGCCCTGATTTACTCAGGCTGCAGATGTTTCCCAAGGAATCCCCCTGCTAACATGGACTGCTGGTTTTGATACACCACTAGGTGAGTTTGATACACCCTCCCTGTGACTGCTGCTGCTTGAAGGAGCAGCTCTTCTACAGAGGAGTTTCTCCCCTTGTAGCTCTCCACAGGGACACGTGCCACCACCTGCACTGTGCCCAACACAAGTGATGACACTGAGACAGGGATGAGGCAAATAACCAAGATTTTATAACTGCAGCAGATGCTGGAGTAATTCATGGAGCTCCCAGAGCCTGCCACCAAACCCTTCTGTGCATCACTAACATCCCACACAAGCAGGTAATGCTGTGACTTCTCTAAATGTTCTCACTGGCAGAGCTCAGGTCATTCCATACAGATGGAACTTCTTTTCTTGCTCTAATGGAAGGTGTGAGGCCCACAAAAAACTGGTGAAGAACTAAAAGGACTTTTCTACATATCTTGATGACTGGGGGCTGATGCAAAGTCCTGGGAGTGTTCAATGGATTAACTAATATCATATGAAATTAGTGTGTCAAGGAAGATGAAGTGAATTCCTGTCTCTGCCACCAGCTTCCAGTCTAACCTCTGGCATGTCCTTTATAATATCATGTCAGATGCCTCATCTAGAAAAGAGACTTTATATCCAGATACTCTTCCACATATCCTCCATACTGTTAGGATATTTTCTACATATCCTCCATACTATTAGGATATTTTCTATATATCCTCCATACTATTAGGATATTTTTTACATATCCTTCACACTATTAGGATATTTTTTACATATCCTCCATATTATTGGGATATTTTTACATATCCTTCACACTATTAAGATATTTTCTACATATCCTCCATACTATTAGACTGGGCTGCACTTACTGCCCAGCAACACAGACAACTGGAGAATGACTACTGGCTAGAAAGGAGCAATCACAACAGACTTGGCAGAAGTAAATTGGTGGCTTTTCAATTCAGAACAAAATATGTAAAAGATTTCCCAACCTAAGTTGAACATTCATTCCATATTTTGTTTACCTATCCACAATACTCAAGGACCCCTGCAAGAATCATAAAATGGAATGAGTTGGGTTAGAAGAGACCCTGAAGATCATTCAGTTCTAACCCCCCTGCTATGGGCAGGGACACCTTCTAGACCAGGTTACTCAGAGCCCCACCCAGGGCTTGAAATCTGCGTGTTCATTACCTATCACCTAATTCCCAGCTTTACTCACATCCTGGATTTATTATACTACTTGTCTCCTGAGCAGCAAATTTTCCTGTGGATCTGGAAGGCCTTCACAAGCCTGACATGTAGCTCTGACATTTCTGGAGCAAGCAGCATTATCCCACTGACAGCTGGAGCAGTGCAGCACAGGCAGCTTTTTGCCTGCAGCCACGTGAGGAAGGTCAAGAGCAGGGCAAGGGACCCAGCCCAAGCCCCTCCCTGCACAACCAAATTATGAAGCCCCTGTTAGTTCCAGTGGAACAGTGCCCACCGACCTCAGCTGAAGGTTTAGATGTCACTGTAATAAAAAGGATAATATGCAATTGTAAATGGGATATTTCTGTGATCTTACCTGGGGAAAGACTGAGAGCAAATTTGGTCTGGAAATCACATTCCTCGCTTTCCAGGTAATCATCTGAAACTACAACCACCATCCTCCGACACCTGGAGATTAAGCAGGGGAGAAAACAAATAAAATGTCAAATGAGATGGTTTTCATTCCCACAAACAGAAGCATTCCCACCAACAGAGCAGAAACCACTGCTCTGAATTGCTCCAGTAGAGAAGCACCTGGCTGTGTTGCAGCAGGAATTAACTGCAGAGCAGGAACCACTGACACACATAGTGTGTCACACACACAGTGATGTTACACAGAAAAACCTGATTACAGATACACACTCACGTACCAAAAAATGAGGAAACAGTGAAGTCCAGACTGTCTGTGCAACCTTTATGTGATCCTGTGTCTATATATGATACACAAGGCAAAGAAAAGCAATTGAACAAAAGTAGCATCACCACAGTGGCACCTCCCTCATGAATGAAGGGACACACTGGGGAAAGCCTGAGTCCTCCTTCCTGAGCCAAGAGCATAAAGCAAAGCCTATTAAGATGTTCTTGTGGATTTTTGCTGTTTCACTGGCACCACGCTGCAGACATCACTGTAAAATGAATGTGATGTTCCACTACACTCACAGCTGGCCCCAACAGCCATGGTTCACTTACCTCCTCTCTATAAGTTCTCCACTGATGGAATACACACAGGCTCCTGGCAAGACATCCCGATCAAATACACAGAGCTTCAGTTTGAACTCTGTTTGCTCCAGCTCCCTGATCATCTCCTGGACAAACTGGAGGTCTTTCTGACAGTAGCAGATGAAGGCATCAAATATCTCTGTTCCACTCCCTGAAACCATTAAAAAATGTAGCTGTCATCTTCTACTATAAATGAAGTTCACTCCTGTAGTGAACTTTGAAGAGCTCCCACAGACTTTAACTCAGAGAATCAAGAGTCTGATAGAAAAGCTCTGGCCAAACTTGCAAAGGTAATTTAGCCTTTTATTAGATGAGCTGCCCTTCAGCCCAGACTCCTGCCCTTACCAGGGCTGGCAGGAGGTAACACTCATCAGTGCCCTGGCTGCTTTCACTGGCCAGGCTGTTCACACACACCCAGATTGCCTGGCAAGGGTCAGGGAAAGGAGCTGAGGTGCAGACAGGCAAAATCTGAGGAGGCAGTAACATCCAGCTACAGGGAGCCTGGGTGGAGCTGGAGGGAGCAGAGTACCCCAGGGGATGCAACTCAGAGCCCTGACACTCTGGGATTTCACTCTGACACTCTGGGATTTCACTGAGAGGTTCACATCTGTAATATCCTTGTGCCTCTGGGTCCATTTTTCTTAGTTCAGGTCACAAAGATTCAAACTTCCCAACCAAAACAGCATTCAGCAATGTCCTGCCATCTGCTGTCCACGGAGCTGCAGGGTGAGCCTTGAAATTTGGAACCTGTCATTTTTATAGCTAAGATGTCAAACCTGGGTACCTGCAGTCATATCCTAATGGGCCTGTTTTCCAATTACATTAATGGCTGGCAGCTCTTGTTTATTTAGCAGTAATCCAAATATTAAAGTGCTGCATTTTAAGGGCAATGTTTCTCATAATTAAGTGCCTTAATACTGCTGGACAGTTTCCAACTGTGTTATTTTTTTCCATATCAATGTCACTACAGATATATTCAATTTTTTTATGCCAGTTAAAGCCTACCACAGTGAAAAAATAGGTCAGGCTCTAAAAGCTGCTGAGGAAAGTATCAACCCAGCAGGCATGTTCAGCCCAAGAAGCAACCAGTGAAGCAGAAGGGGAATGTCTGCCAGGTCAGTCAAACTGAGGGTACTGCTGCAGGGGCACAGCACTGACTTGGGGGTCACATCAGGCAAAGCTGCCATGTACAAACACCAGAATATTGGTCTGTGCCCATGTACATCCACTAGAATATCAGTCTGGGGATGGTTACTGATGTCCACACATGCAGCAAAGGTGGCCAGCATATACATGTGCACACACCTGGCTGCACATGCAGGGCTGCACACACAACAATGCACACACAAAGAACCCATTTCCTCTCTCCACCCACTGCACACCTACTTCAAACCCATTTCCTTTTCATTCAAGGTGGTTCCACCTGCCAAAGACAGGGCAGGGAAATCACCTCTGACACCCTTCCCCCAGGCTCCAACCCCTTGATCTTTCAGCAGCTGCTGCTCTGGGCCAGGCTGGGCTAAGGGACATATTTCTGTGAAACCCCCTCCCATGTGTGTCCAGTGGCTCTGTGCCAGCCTGCTCCTGTGTGAAGTGTTTCTGAAGCTTCCCCTCTCTGCTCTAAGAAACAAGAAAAGTGAAGAAACCATTCTGGCCAGGGGTATGAAAACCTGTGGGAACTATGAAAGCAAGCAGGTTTTCTGCACTTCCCATGGGGAAGGTGATTGCAACAGGAGGTGTGAGGCAGCAGTGGAAGCAGGGGCTCTTACCATATGGATCATCCCTGGTGGTGATGCCCATCAGTTCTGATGTCTTTGGCACACTGCTGTCCACTGCTGGCACTTGGACAGGCTGGTTGGCCTCTTCCTGCTTCCTCTGCAGGTACTTCTTACAGTCCTCCTCTGCAAAAACACACAGCCAGGGCAAGAGGCTCCTGTGACATGGGTTTACACTGCTGGATTTCATTAAAACAGGAATAGCTATTTCATGGATCAGGGATGCTAGAGGGAAATCCCCTGTCTGGTTTTTTCAGTATGCAGGATTTCTCTCACCTCTTTCTCAATGTCTTGATGCTGCCTCCACCACCTCCTCTAGCAATTAATTCCTGAAAATCACTCCTGATATTTTAAGAAGTACTTTCTTTTAGTTGTTTTATTCTTCCTCCTCCTCTTAGCTCTACTATGTCCCAGTACACCTTTAATATCAGGACTAAGGTGCAGAGCAGGTCCCAACTCTGCTATCTGCTCTCATTGTTCTGTATTTTGGACTATCTGAAATCACAAAATAGCTGGGGATGTTTTCATGGTGTCAGTCTTTCTGCCCACATAAAAAGCCATAAGCCAAGACAAAATGGCCTCAAGTTGCACCAGGGGAGGTTTAGATTGGATATTAGGGAACAATTCTTCACTGGAAGGTGGTCAGGCACTGGAACAGGCTGCCCAGGGCAATGGTGGAGCCAGCATCCCTGGAGGGCTCTAATAGATGTGTAGATGTGGCCCTTGGGGACAGGGCTTAGAGGTGGCCTTGGCAGTGCTGGGTTAATGACCCTGTAGGCCTTTTCTGACCTTAGCAACTCTCTGCAGACACACAAGAGCAGATTCACACCCCAGCCTTTGCCAGCCAGGACACCTGCAGGTGACAATGACTATCCACACTCACCACATACAGCAGGACCAGGTAAAACTTTAAGGAGCCCCTGAAGCAGCTTTTATGTTGTGCAACAGCAACAGGGATGCTCTTATTCCAAGCAGAGTAGACATGAAACCCACCCTGAAGGGCAAAGACCTGTCACAGTCACTGCTGTGAACTTCCCAGTCAGGACAGTGGTGGGCACAGATCTATTATAAACAGACTTGGTTTAAAAATAAATCATACATCTAAATGTGAAGCCTTTGGAGAACCAACAAGAAACTCTGCAGCCCCTGCTACTCTGTAAAATTACAGAACTGAAAGTAAAAGGAGATTTGAAAACAGGTATTATGAAAAAGATGAAACTCCCTAGAGACTTTGCCTTTACTTAAGATTTAAAAAAAAACCCCAACAAGTGATAATCAGTACTGATCAGCTGGCACAGGTGACTGGTGCAGGAGCAGAGTAAAGGATCCCTTGGAAGTGCAGGATGCTGGTGGGAGCCCAGGGAGTCCTCCTGGCACAAGCAGATCTGCAGGAGCCCCAGCCTGAGCCCCCACCCCCTGCTTCTATCTCAGCTTTGCATCTTGCTACTGGATTATCTCCAATCTAATAAGGCTCACATCTGATCAAAGCTTTTCCTGAGGCATTCCCAATCTGCCTTTCTCCTCCCCTCAGCCTCCCCAGTCCTGCAGAGGGGAGAATCAGCCACACCCTTTACCAGCCACAAGGTTCAGATTTCACATCTTTCCTCACTAAAGCCATAACTCAGATCCCACCTCTCTGCCAGCTGCCTGTTGGTGAGGTGTGTCAGCTAAATCAGTATCTTTGAAATCATGATTAAAGTCACTTGGAAGTTGCCAACAGGTTCAGCAGTCTCAGAAGAAGGACTGGCACACAGCCACCACCTTAAGTGTGCCTTGATTCCCTTGGGAGCCAGTTTCACAATCCAAAATACTGCTGAATAGGCAAGAAGAGACAATTATTTAACAGCATTGCATAGTGCTCATTACAGAAATGTTCATTTTCAGTGGATTTGCTCCAAGTCTTCTCTCCTTGCCTCTGATTTGGCATGGATCAGTCCCCAGCTGGAAAGAGCAGCTGATTGTACAGGTTAATGAGAGTGAACAAGGATCAGGGATGACTTTGGGACCATAAAGTGAAACTCCACCAAGCACCTAACAAGGCTTTACATTCCTCTGGCAGTCAAACAAATTCCTGAGGAATTGGGGAAAAAAACCAAAAACAATAGAAACATGAAATCTAAAGCACAAAATCAGTAGCATGATGAGAACACAGAGAAAATAGACCCAGTAACTGCCAGGCAGGAAAGTAGCACTTTTGTAACAGGTTAGGGAAGAAACAAAAATCATTGAGTTTCAACAGGAAAGAGCAAAAATGTATCAAAGTAAAAAGCTTCACCTCCCCGAAGATGATTCTACAGAGAAATAAACTGCTGAGGAAGATCAGAGTTAGGGCAGAGCTGCTGGGACATCAACAGTGGTATTTTCTGATTCTGAGCTGGATCCCACTGAAGAAGTTCCAGTGGTACACAAAGATGTCCCTGGCACCAGGAAATACTGTGCACAAGAGTACATGAAACCTTTTCCTTTTTCCCCTTTCCTTTCCTTTCCTTTCCTTTCCTTTCCTTTCCTTTCCTTTCCTTTCCTTTCCTTTCCTTTCCTTTCCTTTCCTTTCCTTTCCTTTCCTTTCCTTTCCTTTCCTTTCCTTTCCTTTCCTTTCCTTTCCTTTCCTTTCCTTTCCTTTCCTTTCCTTTCCTTTCCTTTCCTTTCCTTTTGCAAGAGCTCTCATCACCAGCAACAGGTCACAGGCTCTCAGTGCAGTCCTCAGCCAAAAATCATAAAAGAGGAACAGTCACACTGCTCAGGCTGATGGTTCACCAGCCCCAAGCCTCATCCTGTCTCAAGCACTGCACTAAACCAGGTGTCCACGGGGGAACATAAGAATAAAATAAGCTTACAGAGATATTTCCCTAATATATATATGTATGTATTTCCCTAAAATCTATCTTTTAGGTATAATCTACAAATCTATTTTTATAATCTCTCTTTTGGACTATTCACAGTTAAGGAATTTCCTGAGCCACAGAGAGTATTTTTGTTGAACAGCCCTTAGTGGGCCCCTCTTCCAAGAATTTATCTGTCTCTTATCAGCCAGAACCAGCCTGGCTGATCCCAAGGTTTTTGTGAAGTCCCAGATCTTCTGCACAGCTGGGAGCTCCCCCAGATTTCAGGAATTCTCTGATAAGCAGATCACAAACTACACTGATGCTTTTGTCTTTCCCAAAACCTGGCCTTCAGACTGTGATCTAAAGTAGGAAGAACAACTGGACCAAAGGGAAGCCCTCCATCACTTCTTGGTCAGGCTCTCTACAGAGATGGATTTCTACATCTTCCTTTACCTCCATGAGTAACAGGAAGTGAGATTTATTACTTCCTCCTTGCTAACTCAGTAAGCTCTATTATACAACACAGGCCCTTCAGGGAATTCTCTGGCTTTGGAAATCCTGTGGCAAAAAATTTCCCCTTCTGGTGACAGCTGGGTTCCCTCTGAATTTCTCTGACCACAAAGAATACAAAGAGCCCAAAAAGAAGAAGTTATCAAAACAGCACAAGGGCCTTCATTCTTCTCATTGACCTGCCTCATTTTTTTTCAGTTTGCAATGAATTTTTTTCCCTGACATTGTCCAGTTCCACACATCCCTCACCTCCCCCAAGAAACACCTTCCTATCACACTATATCCACACATCCTAATTTTCACACTGTCTCCTGGCTAACCTGGCTAAGAGCGTCTTTTGACACACAGAAACTTTTGAATTGAAGGTTTGGGATAAGCCAGGGCTCCAGGTTACTTTGTAGGACTCATGGTTAGTAGAAACACAGCACACATCTCTCCTGGAAGACAGGGGAGACTTCTGTGAATCACAGAATGGTTTGGGTTGCACAGGACCTCACAGGTCATCTCATCCCAACCCTGCCATGGGCAGGGACACCTCCCACTGTCCCAGGCTGCTGCAAGCCCTGTCCAACCTGGCCTTGGACACTTCCAGGGACCCAGGGGCAGCCACAGCTTCTCTGGGCACCCTGTGCCAGGGCCTCCCCACCCTCAGAGGAAAGAAATTCTTTCAATAGCTAATCTAATACTTAATCTAAATCTCTCTTCTTTTAGTTTAAAACCATTCTCCCTTATCCTATCACCATCCATGCAACAAGTCCCTCTCTCCCCTTTTATAAGCCCCCTTTAGGTGCTGGAAGGGGTGCTCAGGTCTCCCCGGGGCCTCCTCTGGCTCAGGCTGAACACCCCCGGCTCTCTCAGCCTGTCTCCATGGCACAGGTGCTCCGGCCTCCGGAGCATCCGACAACAAACAGGATGTCACTCCATAATCTGGAAAGGGCTTTTCTTCTCTTTTGCTTTTCTTAACCTCACCTCCGCGGCCAGAGCAGCAAAGAGCGACACAAACAGGAAAGACCAACGCAAAGAGCAAGGACCAATACGAACAGAAAGACCAACACGAACAGCATCCCCTCCCTCCCGAGGCATCAAGGAGGGCGGGCTCCGGGATTCCCCGGGCTCTCCGGGATTCCCCGGGCTATGCCCCCGTTCCCAGCTCCTCACCCACGCTGCCGGCCAGGTCCGTCAGGACATCGTCGCGACCCAAGCGGCGCAGCACATCGAGGAGCTGCCCCACGGTGGCCCCGCCGGGGCAGCGTCCCGGCCATTCCTCCAGCAGCGTGGCCGTGGGGTCGGGCAGCCCCTCGAGCCGCCGGATCTCCAGGAAGCTGCAGCCCAGCGCCTCCGCCAGCGCCGTCCAGTCCGCGGCCGCGGCCGCCCGCGGGTTGAGGTAGAGGCCGAGGCGGCGGCGCACGCCGTAGTTCAGCGCTACCATGGGCACGGCGTGCGGGTCCAGCGGCGGGACGGGACTGGCAACGGGGCTGGGGCTGGCAGCGGGGTCCGACGGGGACGTGGCCATGGCCGTGCCGCGCTCCCAACTTCCCCTTCCCGGCACTTTCGCTTCCCGGCTCGCCCCGCCTCTCCACCGCCCCCACGGGCTCTCTCTCTCTCTGCCCGCCCTCCCTCCCTCCCTCCCTCACGGTGCGGGGCACTCTCTCCCTGCCCGCCCTTCCCTCCCTCCCGGTGCGGGGCTCTCTCTGCCCGCCCTCCATCCCTCCCTCCCTCACGGTGCGGGGCTCTCTCTCTCTGCCCGCCCTCCATCCCTCCCTCACGGTGCGGGGCTCTCTCTCTCTGCCCGCCCTCCATCCCTCCCTCACGGTGCGGGGCTCTCTCTCTCTGCCCGCCCTTCCCTCCCTCACGGTGCGGGGCTCTCTCTCTCTGCCCGCCCTCCATCCCTCCCTCCCTCACGGTGCGGAGCTCTCTCTGCCCGCCCTCCATCCCTCCCTCACGGTGCGGGGCACTCTCTCCCTGCCCGCCCTTCCCTCCCTCCCGGTGCGGGGCTCTCTCTGCCCGCCCTCCATCCCTCCCTCCCTCACGGTGCGGGGCTCTCTCTCTCTGCCCGCCCTTCCCTCCCTCACGGTGCGGGGCTCTCTCTCTCTGCCCGCCCTTCCCTCCCTCACGGTGCGGGGCTCTCTCTCTCTGCCCGCCCTCCATCCCTCCCTCCCTCACGGTGCGGGGCCCTCTCTGCCCGCCCGCCCTCACGGTGCTGGGCCGGACGGGTCGGCCTCGGGACGGTGTTGGGAGCAGGAGCAGGGCAGTGATGGTTCCCCTGTGCTCCGCACCTCGAGTGCTGTGCCCGGCTCTGGGCTCAAGTCAGGAAGGGCATTCAGGGAGTGGAGCGGGTCCAGAGAAGGGAATGGACCTGGGGAATGGTCTGAAGCACACACACATCCTATACGGACTGGCCGAGGGAGCTGGGGGTGTTTAATCTGGAGAAAAGGAAGCCAGGGGATATAGGGGATACATTATCACCCTCTAAAACTTCCTCCTGACAGGAGGTTGTAGGCAGGTGTGGACCAGCCTCTTCTGCCAGGCAATAAATGATAGGGCAGGATGACAAAGTCTTAAACTGTGCTGGGTAAGTTTAGGTTGGACATAAGGAAGAATTTTTTCACAGAAAGGATGATTACATTGGAATGGGCTTCCCCTGAGACGTGGTGGAATCACCATCCCCGGAGCTGTTAAAGGAAAGACTGGATGTGGCTGGCACTCAGTTGAGATGGTGATGTTGGGTCACAAGTTGGGCTCGATGATCTCAGAGGACTTTTCCAGAAAACTGATCATGTGGTTCTCCTGCTGGGCTTTGTCCAAACATAGTGCCCTGCCCTCTGGAGTGGCCTGGACAGGGATCTGTGCTGTGTGTCAGGAGACACTTATGCCAGAGAGAACAATGCTGTCACTAAAGCTGTTTCACACTATTCCACCCCAAACCACCCTGGCTACATTCCTGCCCTCCTGCCCAGGCCCCCAATACAACAAATGGTAGAATTGTTAATGTGGCCCTGACAGGGCTTATGCTCAAAATCACTTAGTTTTTCTGCTTTTGGCACAACAACTTGCTCATGTATTAAATGTCTGTTTATTTCTCACCCAGACCTGAATCCATCAACCCAAAACATTCAGAGATTTTACAGTATTGCAGTTATTCTTTACAGAACAGGCCCAGTGGATCTCTAGTAGCAATAAATCCAGAACCACGTCCCATCTTTGGTCGTTAAAGTGTTCAGATCTGGGCTCCCCTCAGATGACAATGCTCCATGACAGCACAAATATGCCCATCTCCAAATTCCCAAACTCTTCCAGCAAGTACAACATTCTGCATAAAAATAAAATCCTAAAACTGGTTAGGAGTCCATTTCAAACTGTTTTTGATGCTGAGTAGAAAACACAACTCTTGGCTATGAACTGAACATTTTTCAGCTTCCAGGATGGTACCAAACCAACAGGTAAGGAAATTTTCAGGATGAACACAGAGATTCTCCAAAATACTGCAGGAGACACAGTAAAAGAACATCCTCTGCAGTCTCTAGAACATCCTCTGCAGTCTCTATCTGTGGAGCTCTGTGGAAATGAGGAAGATAAAATATTCCAGTAGCAAAACTTTTAATTGCACAATGATTGGTGGGTTTAAAACTTTAAGAAATGAAAAATAAGCATAAGAAGTTTCAGTTCTGACTGAAAACACCTGCCACATAAACCACTGGCTCCAGATAGTAAGGAGAGGTGCTAATACACAACCTCCAAATACCCACATCCAGTGAGTGTCCCTGGGAACACCAGACAGGCAGATCCCATGTTATTTTACCATGCCAAACCTGTATCTTTGGCTTGTTCAAGGTGATTAACCATTATCCAGGCACCCTCAGCAGCAAAACCTCCTGCTGAGCACTCCTTCAGCCTTCAGCAAGCATCCTTCTTGCGAGAGAAGTAAAAATCTATCCCTCTGTCCTTGTGCTGTGCTGGTCCCCTCTTGCCCCTGGGATGGGGACTTCCTCCCTGTGGCAAATGACAAGGAACAGCGAGAGATTTACTGATGCTGCAGAGTGGATTTGGTCACAAAGCAGTGCTGACATCCAGGAGAACGTGCACATGGAACTTCTGCCTCCCAAGTTCACTCAAAAAGGCAGGAAGGCCTGACAGGTATTGCTCTAGGCTGGGATTTATGAAACCACGGTTTCTGGTAAGGGGAGCTGGGAAAGTTCATCAAAATTGAACTTTTGCCTGATGGAGAAGCTCTTTGGCTTCAAGTTTCATCACTGCCTCAAACTGGTGTCTCACCAAGTGCTCCTGCAGAGTTTTTTCTCTCATCCCAGGTTACTAATCCAGGCCCTTTAACAGCATGGGTGAAGCAGAAGGCCTTGCTTCCACAAAACTTTCCACTCATGGCAAAGGAATCTGGCCTAAAAATTTGGTACTGCACCTTGGGATTAAAACCTGAAATGGGGGCATGCTTCATTCTTCACTGACTTGGTGCAGTACCTAACTCTGAGCCTCCACAAAGTATCCTCACTCAGGAGGAGGCAGGGTAGATGCATGGCGGAAAGGCAAAATGCTGAACACTCTTATGATACACAACCATTGGTTACATCCATTTCCTTCCATGCCCACCTCCTCCAAGAACAGCATCCCAGCCAGCTGATAAAAGCCTTGACATGCTGCAGGATCAAGAACTCATTCTGCCCCCATTTTAAGGGAAGATACACTCAAAAATCAAAGTGCAAGGAGCAGTCCCTATATTTACAGGTCTTGCTGACTCCAGTTTGGATGCACTCAAGCAGGAAGTTGGTTGGTTGTGCTTCCACCTCCTGAGCAGAAAGGACAGAACAGGAAGGACAGAACAACCCAGAGAAACTGTATTGTTCCTCTTCTGTCCACCTGTACTGGGGGGTGGTCACACCAGTGGAGGTCCTGGAGAAACCCCGTCCCTCTGGTGGGGCTGCCAGGGCATGGAAGGATGCTCAGAAGGACATGCTGTGGCTAAGCCCTGCTGACTATACAAGGGACAGGGAAGCAGCAAAAATTTACATCACAGAATCACAGAATAACGAGGTTGGAAGAGACATCTAAGATCGAGCCCAACCTATGCCCTAACACCTCAGCTAGACTATAGCACCAAGTGCCATGTCCAGTCTTTTTTTAAACACATCCAGAGATGGTGACTCTACCACCTCCCTGGGAAGAGCATTCCAGTACTTTATTATTCTTTTGGTGAAAAATTTCTTCCTAATATCCAACCTATACCTTCCCTGACATAGCCTGAGACTGGGAAGGTACATGTTGGATATTAAGAAAAACTTCACCACAGTGGGTAGGACAGAGAGCTAAATAATCCTGGCTGCATGGTCCCTGCTGCGATGTAATGTGAGCTGGCATTAAAAGAACTTTTTTCCCTTTACACCTGAGAAAGAAGAGCAGAACTCACAGAGACTGATGCAGAGCAGCCCCTGGCCCTCCCACCCCATCCCAGCCCTCCCAGTACTCACAGGCCTCTGGTGGATGTGTCGGCTCCACTCTGGGGCTGTCACCACTGGCTGTGGGTAGGTCTCACCCAGAGTTACTCCTGCCTGGGAGAGAGCAGCACTGCTCAGTGCCCAGGGGGTGTGGATGTCTGCTCCCTTTATGCCCTGCAGTTCTGGCACCCACAGCCTGACATAATCCCCCTGCAAACAGAACCAACAGGACAGGATCCATTCAGTGACAATCTCTAAGTGCTTCCCAGTAAGGCTCTTTCTCAATGGGAAAGAGAGGAGCCAGATTTCCAGGGTTAGCCCCATTTACTAAATCCTCCACCCAGAATTAGTGCCTAAAGAGAGACCTGGATGCTGGAGCTCTTCTCCCATGCTCACACTGCAGGCACAGGAGGGAGGCAGAGGTGCATTTTCAGCACTGTTCATCTGTCCTGTTTAGGACATCCTGAAATGAAGTCACCCCCAAGAAGTTTCCTGTGACTGAAGGAAAATAGGATAGCTAGCTCAGCTGCACACTCATGTGCTCCTGAATCTCTCCTATTAACTCTACTGCTGTGTACTCTACTAGGACCAATTTCTGATTTCTTGTTAAATCCTGCCAGCTACAGTGCCAAAAGGCAACCACATAGCCTGAAGTGAAGCTAAGGAACAGTGTGGAAACAGGGAATGCAGTTTGTGAATACTGGCTAAGCACACGGAAAATATCAGTGCTACAATGCCCGATGGGCAGGAAGAATGAGATGTAGAACTTCATGATATTAGAAGGTGTTCCAGGTTGCAAGGCAAGATGTATTCTATCACCATCTGTATGGCAGCTGTCTTTTGTCAAGTGGGCAGTTTGCCTTATCCCTCTCTGAGTGATCACAATCACTCCTCCCTCAGGAGGGGACACCTGCTGATAACAGCCATTGAATGTCACTGCATGGCTGATAAGAACTACAGCATCCCATTGGGAGATGTGAGCCCAGAGGGAGGAGCCAAGCATTCCTACCTGGATATAATCTGGAGATTCTGGAACACCAGCACAGCTTCTCCACTGGATTCCCCAGAG